GGTGGAGTTGGATTTGTTTTTCTGTCATGAATTTTACCGAATGGAACTTTAGGCAATTCAACATTAGGAGTAGACGATACATTAACAGACAGTGCGGATTGAACCGATACTGTAGGTTGTTGCTTTTGTTGTGCATGCTGAAGTTGTTGAATTGTAGCATTTGTTGGTACTAACGGCTGTTTCTGTTGGTGGTGAAGTTGCGATTGTAATTGTTGTTGAGATTGTTGGTATTGGTTCTGGAGCTGTTGCTGCTTTTGTTGGTGTTGTTGGTGTTGTTGTTGTTGCTGTAATAAAAGATGCTGTTGTTGCTGTTGTTGGTGAAGGTGGTGTTGTTGTTCAGCAAGATAAGCCGCATTTGGCGATTCAATTTTTCTGTCTTTTATTTTACCAAACGGTACTTTTGGCAATTCAACATTATGCACGGTTGAAATGTTAGTGGGTAACAATGACGATGCAGATGAGCAGGATTGTTGTTGCTGATGTGGTGCTTTTTGTTCATTAGGAAAAGGCGATGTCACTGGAGTTGGAATTGAATCAGTTTTTCTTTCAACAATTTTACCAAGAGGTGGCATTTTAGGTAAATCACCATTGTCAAGAGACACTGGGATAGAAGGTTGTGAAACTGGTTGAGGAGGTTTCTTTTGTTGTTGGTCGTCATTAGATGGATTAGATAATGATTGTGATTCAATTTTACGATCCAAAATTTTACTAAACGGAACTCTCTGTACTTCAACATTATCTGCAACAGTGACTTTGGGAGACACAAGAGGTGCTGCAATAGTGGGTTTAGGTTGTTTGTCTTGGTGCTGTACTCGCTCATCAAGATGAACTGTTGGTTGAGTTTCAGTTTTAATTTCATTAATTTTGGCGAGAGATGATTTAGACTCATCAGCAACAGCAACAGTCAACGGTGTAGTTAAAGTAGTAGATGCTACTTGTTGGGGTTGAGGTCCAGACTGAATTTGTATCTTTGGTTGAATTTGAGCCTGAGATTGTGTCTGTATCTGCAGTTGTGGTTGTGACTGAGGTTGAGATTGAGGTTGAGGATGGGACTGAGATTGCAACTGTGGTTGAGCTTGTAATTGTGGCTGTGGCTGTAATTGCGGCTGAGTTTGAGACTGAGGTTGTGGTTGTGACTGTGGTTGGTTATGAATAAGAGGTTGAGACTGTTGAATTTGCTGTTGAATCTGTGGCTGAGTTTGGTGAATTTGCTGAATTGAAACGTTAGCAGACAATATTGACGTTGTTGACGTTGATGGTGTTGAAGATTGCTGTTTAAGTTGTTGATCGTTAAATTGAGATGATGATGTTGATGAGTCAGACTTTCTTTCAATTATTCTTCCAAATGATGGCATTTTTGGTAGTTCAACCTTGAGAACAGGTAATGTTGGACGTTTCTGACTATTTTCGATGATTAGATCCTTGCATGAACTGGTAGAACCAGTTGTTTCTGAATCAACAGCCTGTGATGTAGATGTTGTTGAGCTGGTGCCTCCTTTAGCAAGAGATCTGGTAATACGAAGAGTACGAATAGCGTTCTTGGAATCACCTTTACCTTCACTGTCTATAGAATCCATTTTAGAATCAGGCAATGACTCTTCGTCTTCCTCATGAATTTCATCAGCTTTCTTGCTCAGACGAGTTGATCTCTTGAATGATTTACTTAAATCTAATCTGTATGAGCCAACGCCTTTCACAACATCTTCAATAATTTCATCGACAGTAGTCTTGTTAGCTTGAGACATTAACCGAGCAGATTTACGAGTTGGTTTAACAGCAGCACCAGACAATGTTGAAGCTGATGCATCAGTTGCAACAGAGGATGAAGATGAGGTAATCACTGGTGTTGATTGTGCATTTGATGTCAAGTTTGTCAATGTTGTTTTATTTATTATAGCTGAGCTGCTATTTTCATTGACACTAGAGACACTAGTGTTAGTAGTTTCATCTTTATCATCTTTACTTTTATCATCGTCAGGTAGGAGAGCTTTACTTGTCTTAACAACCTCGGCAGTGCTTGAACCTTCTTTACCGTCTTGACCTTCTTTAGAATGCAAACGAATTGTGATTGAAAGTTTCCCATGTTGACTGAGTTCAGTAACGTACTCTTTACCGCTTGTTGTGTCATTACTGTGGTCATTCTTGTTTGTTTCTTCAGTCTTTTTCTCACTAAGTTCATTAACGTGGTGTGATGAACTGGATAATGAAGATGAATGTGATGAATGAGTTGAATGGTGATGTGAATGTTGATTTTGATACTGGTGACTGGATACTGATGCTGATTGAATTACATTTGATACAGAAGAAATGGATGAACTTTGAGCTTGAGCGTGATGATTGTGTTGATGGTGAGATGATTGAGCTTGCGGTTGATATTGTGCTTTGTGATCAATAATTTTAGATGCATTGGATGAGGAATGCATAGATTCAAGAGGCGGTGGTCCTTCTTCATCTGAATCTCTGAACTCGAAAACATCGTAGGGTGACAATGATTTTCGAGGTTCATTAGAAACGGTTGATTGTTTCTCGGACGAAGAAACTGTCGATAAGGAAAGAAAGATTCTTTCCTTATTGTGTTTGGATGGAATGTCAACTTCGTATGATTTAGACGGGCCTTCATTACCAGAAACCTTTTTCCTTCTTCCTCTCTTCTTACGAGTATCAGACTTGTCTTGAGAACTGGTATCATGAATGTGTTGATCATTCAATGGATGTTTATTGAAATAAATGCTTGGCTCATCATCAGACAAGTAAGCAGATTCATTGTCAGCACAATGTTGATCATCGGAATTAAATTCTGACCCATAATAAGAGCCACGAACATGTCTCTTTGGTCGCTCAGAGACGGGAGATTTACCTTTCCTGCCTGGTTCACCAGTATGAGAATCGGAACAACCAGATTCATAGCGAGGTAACTGCAACGATGATTCTGAATATTTACGAGTCTTGGCTCGCCTCCCTCTTCTGGGTCTTTCAAGACTCCCTTTACCTCGTTCATCATCATCATCCAATCGACTGTTATCATCTCTTGGATCATCTTTACTTTCCTCTTCAGATTTACAAGATAACTCTTTGGCCAAATCAATCTTTATGTTTGGCAAGCTTGAACCTGATTCTCTCTTCATTTGCAACTTTGCTTTTGACACACTGAATACAAATGATTCAGTTTCAGATGCAGCATCATTTTCCGAGTCAACATCTTGTTTAGATGATTTAAAGTCATTCAAACTGGTGCTCGTTTTCGAGTCAAGGTTATCCAAATCGATTGATTCTGAACACTTTTTATTCCTTTCAAGAATAAATTCCTTCTCAACCATAGATGTTGACGTATTATCTTCATTGTCTCCTTCCTCCAATGATTCTCTTTTACTATCAATCTCATTAACTGATGGTGAATCGTCATCAAACAATTCAGTCTTTTCTGAACTATCTGAGCCTGTATCAGGTTGTTGTTTCTTTTGATTATCATCAGAGAGAAGAGAATCAATTATATTTTCACTGATAAATTTAGCTTTGCTTTCATTGTTGTCCATACTATCATCAGAAGCTGGCTCATCAAAAACAGGTCGACTACAGCTATCATCATCATTTACACCAACCAGACTGAAATCATCCTCTTGGCTGATTTGACGATGATCAGTTTTACTTTCAGATACATCTTGTGAATCATCCTCAGTTTTACCCAAAAATGATTCTCCAGTTTCACTATGGTGAAATGGTGAATCCGATGTTGATGGTATTTTATCAACTAAAGGTGTTTCATCAATGATCAATTTCTCATTACCTTCTTCACCATCATCGAAGCAACCATCATTTTCACTGGCATTCAAATCAATATGACTTGAATCCAAGTATAAATTGGAAGATAATGATGTTTCACTTGGTCGCCTCTCTTCTTGCCTATTTGTATCAACCAAAGGACTGATAGACTCTTTAATAGGACTTTCTTTACCAATGATACCAGAAACATCATCTTCCTTCTTTTCAGAGCACAGAGTTGACTCTATATTCTTGTCTTCCGATTTGGAGGAGCTTCTTCTTCTGGATACAATTGATGACGAGGAAGATGATGATATTGATAATGTAGTTGATGGTGGCGTTGGTGCTGCTGTTGGAATGGTGGTGGGTAAAGTTGGAGTTACTGTTGTTATTGTTGTTAATGATGTTGATGTTGATGACAAGATGGTGTTTACTGTTGTCGATGGTAATGTTGTTAAAATTGGTTGAGCTGAGGTTGTTTTTACAATTGATGATGATAATGATGCGGATGATAAACTTTTTTCATCTTCAGAGTATTTCTTTTCTTCTTTCATAATCTCATTTTCCAAGATGGAGGTTCCAGTAGAAGCAGAACAAGTTGTGACAGAATTTACAGAACAAGTTGTTGTAGTTGTTGTTGTTGTTGATGGTAAATCAACAACAGTATCAGCAAGATCATCGGCAATTTTCCTCTGGTTATGATTATCTGTGTGTTCACCCTCTGAAAGTGATGAGGATGAAGAGGAAGATGAGAATGATGATGATGATGAAGGTGAGGAAGATGAAAGTGTTGATGGCAAGAACTTTCCAGTTTCGACATTTTTGATGCTTTCTTTTTCTTCTTTACATTGACTTGTAGCAGAGCCATGAATGGGACTAGAAGCAATAGGTTTGCTTGAGCTATTGAGTGAACTGGCTCCAGTTGATGGTAATGAGGTAAATGAGCTCGTACTGATCCCACTAATGTTATTATCAATACTACTGCTACTTGTGTTGTTGTCTTTGAAGTTGACTATTGATGAACTGATGCTATTAATGGCTGCATTATTTTCAGTTTGATCGTCCAATTTAGCAATCGAACTATCATCTGATTCTTCGGCAATTTGAAGTGGTGCATCTTCATCGGCAACCATGTAAGCCATGTCAATTTCGGGTTCAGTTGGTGAAGCAATACGTTCAATGTACTGTTCTGGTTCTTTGGTAAGTTCAGGAATAGATTCAACATTCATCTCTTGAAGAAGAGCTGATACAGCGAGGTCATCTTCAATCTTTCGCTGATCATCAATTTCACATTCTTTAACATCGTCAACCTTGAAGGGATCAACGTTAAGAATGGATGGATGATGAAGATGGTGTGGAAATGTTACCTTACTCTCAGGACCACTTGGAATGGCACCAAATATGTTAGATTCGAGGATTCGTCGTTCATCTTCCATAACAGGTTTAGAAAGTTCATCATCTTTTTTAGAACAGGGAACGATAAGTTCATCGAAAAGTCCTTTAGGTTCTTTGAAATGATTCCAGCTTTCATCTGCCTTCAACTCTTCTACCAACCTTTGAGTTTCAATGGCTGCCTCTTCTTCAAACCTTCTCTCCCTAATTATCTTCTCTTCTTTAGATAAAGCAGACGGACCAGAGGCTACCTTCAAACCTGAAGAGCTTGAATTGTGAGTTGAATGTAGACTAGTAAAATCATCAACACTGTTCTCTTCTGATGAATGACTGTTATAGATGGCTTTCTCAAGAAGACGAGCCTGTTCTCTTGTCTCAAGATCATCTTCTTCATTAGTCAAAGAAGAAAGTCGCTGATGTTGATATTTATCTTTAACAGGTTCACCAGTTTCACCCAATCCTGGTGCACCTTTCTTCTCCACCATTAAATCACTGATAGAACCAACATTGGATAACTTTTTCAATGGAGATGGGCTCTTGACTCGTTTCACTGAACCAACAACTTTGTGTTCATCATCTTTCTTTTCTTCTTTCATAACCGGTTTTTCATTATGCGTTTTACCCTCAACAACAGTCACTGATGTAGTTGTAGTTGTTGTTGAAGTTGAAGTTGATGTTGTTGTTGTTTCTGTTGCTGCTGCTGTAGTAGTTGTTGTTGTTGGAGCTGCTGATGATGATGATGAAGAAGAAGATGATGACGATGATGATAATTCCAGTTTCACCTTGGTTTCACTCAATATTTTCTCTCTCATTGTTTCTTTTTCCATCATCCTATCTTTTTCAAATCTCTTTTCTTCTCCAATAAATGTTGACTTCCTATGTCCACCAATTTCCTTTTCTTTCTCTTTATTAGCCTCCTTCTCATTATGACTTGAAGTTGATAAAGATGAAGATGACAATCGATCTCGATCTTTCATCTTTTTAGACTTCTTTCTTTCCTCATTATTATTGCTAGAACTAGATTTAACCTTATTATCTTTTTCTTTCTTCTTACCTCCGCTTATTACTCCTAATCCAGTTGTTTCCATGGTAAGACCATCTTTACCATGATGGTAATGATGATGATGTGAATGGTGACTCTCACTGACTTCTTTACCCTCCTTCCCATGCAATGATGATTCCATTGATGTTGATGTCAAAATATTTCCACTGTTATTATTGGCATTCACTTCTTTAAGCCATTTTTTATTGGGCTTATTTGATTTTTCACTTAATACACTTCCACTTAAAGAGTGATCACTTAAACGATCCAAATTGTGAGACAGAGATTTGGTAGACACATGATCCTCATGTTTGGATGCAGTTGATTTAATTGAGCTGATTGAATGATTATCCCAAATAGATGATGAGGTGGCACAAACAGTTGAAACTGTTAATTTATCACTATTTTCAGGACCACATTTCAACACTGTTACCCGAGATGGTGGTTCAGGTTCACAATCCGCTTGACTAACAATTTTCTCTATCCTTTGGAGACTCTGCTCAAAATCAGATGCATCTGACCTAAGGTCAGCATCAGATTCCAATTTGTAATCATTTTCAAATTTGGCTGAAGACTTTTCACGAGATGATGATTCACTGCAACTACGTTCTTTGTGTCGTTTATCCTTATCCTTTGATTTAACACTTTTTACCTTTTTCTTTTTCTTTTTACTCTTCTCTTTGCTTTCATCAAAATCATCACCAAGTCCACTGGACATTGATTGAAGTCGTCGTTTCTCAATTTTATCACTAACATTCTTCTCGTGGTTACCAAACGATGTTACTGGTCCAGTTGTTAATTTGTTGTCAACATCTTTATCCGATTTAGTCAACACTGCATCATGAAGTTTATCATGTACCTTATCATGTTTGTCATGATTTTTATCATGACTCTTCTTCTCATGACTCTTCTCTTTAACCTTTTCCAAATGGCCATCTTTATTTTCTTTGGATCTTTCCTTCAACTTTTTATCTTCCTTACTTCGTTTGATAGATGTTGGCCCATCATTGTCTCTATCCTCTGAGCGAACCTTTGAGATCGATGTTGAATGTTTCTCATCTTCTCTATCACCTCGATCTTTTTCCTTTTCTTTAGATAGTTTTAATTTCTTTTTCGCTATCTTATCATCACTTTTATCCTTACTGGATGAATTATCACTTTTATGATGATGATGACTCGATGATAGAGATGACCATTTAGATGAAGATGTAGACAATGGATGGTTGGAAGACGATGATGATGTTGCAGCAATGGGCCCTTCTTTTTTATCATCTTTCGATGACATTAAACTTTTGCTTGTTGATTCATTATCTTCATTCTCATGTCTCTCAGGACGATCATCCATTTTCTCTTCTTTCACTTTAACCTCAACTGAACCATCTTTACTTGACTTTTTGTGTTTATTGTTAGAATGAGTAGAACCATTACTATTTTCCTTCTTGAATTTCTTTGGTATCTTGGGTTTGGTTGTGATCTCTTCGTCTGAACTATCCTCTGTTAATTTATGTGAAGGCTTAGGCTTATTATAACGTGGTGAAGTCATTGAGATTTCATCATCACTATCACTTGAGTAAATTAGGTCTTTGGTTTTCTTGGAGGTGGATGATGAGTGAGCAGAGTTTTTCATGGCAGAAGCTAATAAAGCTTCAAATCCAAATTCAGAATCAGAATCAGAGTCAAGTGGTTTAGGAGGGACACTTTTCTTGGCCTTCTTTGCCACCTTTGAACTACTCGAGGAATTACCAGCAATTAAGGTTGCATTAATACCAGATGGACCATCATCCTCCATATCATCATCATTATCTGATGATGAAGGAGAACTTTCAATGATTAATTTTCTCTTTTTAGCACCAGAATTTGATTTAGATTTTAAACGGTTCAAGGATGAGGAAGAGGAAGAGGACGCTGTTACTGATGATGATGTAGTTGTTGTTGTTGTTGTTGTTGAAGCAGTTGCAGGTAATGATGGAGTTGGTAAAGATGACGATGAAGGTGTCGTTGTGCTTGTTGTTAATGGAGTTGTTGATGCAGCTGCCGATGATGCTCTTCGTTGACGGATTATTTCCATTCCAGATCTATCAGCACCACTTCCAGCTCCTCCCTCATCAGAATCAGAATCATCTGAGTCTGAGTCAGTATTACGTGAACCTCGATCCTCTTTTTTAGCTCGACTCTGCTTAAGCACATCAAACTTTGACCTCATCGCATCCATATCTTTATTGGCCTCTTTCAAACTTTGATTGTGACTTGATCGAGCTTTCACTTTATCATACATTGAAAAGTAAATTGGTTCATCATCTGTTATTCCCAGTTTTTTCATTTCCGATCGATAACGGGCAAGCTGCTTCTTCTCTTCCCTCTCAGCCATTTCACGATCTCTTTCCTCTTGAGTCTTCTTTTCTCTGTCCTTTTCTCTGTCTTTTGATACCTTTCCCTCCTTTTCTCCTCCTTTACCATTCTTTTCTCGATTTTTATCCTTCTCTTTCTTGAATCCACTCTTCTCTTTAGATTTTTCTTTACCTTCAAAACAACTTCGTTTATCTTGATGTTGCAGATTCCCTGAAGTAGATGAAGATGATGATGATGATTGCGACTTTAATTTAACCCTTTCTTTATTAATAGATGAATCGGTTCCCTTGTGTATTTTACCTTCTTTTTTGAACATCTTTTTCTCCTCTTTACCAGATTTGTTATTGTTATTGCCAGGAATGTCTCCACTAGCTCGAGATTTGTCATTTAACTTGCTCAAACCAATATTTATACCATCATTTCCACTATTGTTATGTGAACTTTTCCTTTCTTTATCATGTTTCTTTGGAAAATGTAAACTATTATTGGTATTGGATGATGATGAAGAAGATGCAAGAAATGATGAACCTATATTAATAGATTCTTTTGAATCACTTTTGTCTTCTTTTGAATGTGACTTAGTTTTATCACCTTTACGTGCAACATTACCAGGCTCATGACTGATATTGGTACCTCCAGAGGAGGTTAAATGATTGTCAGAATCTTGGTCTACATCATCACTGGAAGAGTGACGATTGTAAGTTGCACTGGACAATGTTTCTGTTGTCTTTTTGAGATCATTTCTACTAAGAGATTTCACATTTGGACCAAATATCGATGTGGAAGATGAAGAAGAAAGAGAAGATGAATGATGAATTTGATTTGACCGTTTAGGTATTGAGCTAGTTGATTCATGATGAGACAAATTATTAACATATGATGATGTGTAACTGGTTGAGTTTGATGTGGATGAGCTCCCACTGAGCAAATCTTTTCTTTGGTTTGATCCAATTGTATTGTCTTTTTTACTGTTACCTTGTCGGAGATCAGATGAGGCTGATAATCGACGTGCATCATTCCTACTGCTACTTGAAACATTATTTAACCCGATATTATCCTTTTTAACCGTACTAGATGAAACAGTTGATAAACCAGATAAATTACTGGTTGAACAGGATGATGCCCTATTAAGAAGATTAGGAGCAACGGATGGTGAGGATCCTGAGGATGATAATGAGGATACCGCCGACGCAGTCAAGGATGAGCCTGATGATGAGATTGAGCCAAGACGAGAGGAGGTTGGCGGAAGATTTGAGCAGGTCAATGAAGAGGCGGTTGAGGCTCCAGTTGTTGTTGCCGTCGTTGTTGTTATTGTTGTTATTGTTGTAGATAATGACGACAATGATGTGATTGAGGTTGAAAAGGGTGAGAATGAATTACACCGAGCTGGAGCAGATTGCGGAGTATTTGGAGTGCTTGGTGTACAGTTTCCTGATTTTGACTTATCAATCGAGCTAAGTTTCCCTGGTTCAGAAAGTTTACGCGTAAACAGTGACGATGGATGGTGATGGTGAGCTTTGGAGTCATGCAAATAAGACGATGTTGATTGATAATGGTGAAGCTTTGATTCAACAGTTGAACTCGATAAAGATGATGAAGATGACTTTTCGTCGAGAGATGTTGAAAACTCTTTGGCGGCTGCTTTGGTTCGAAAGGCTGGTTTCAAAGAGGAACCACTCGCTTCTCCAACACTAGAAAAAGATACTGTTGATGTCGTCTCTTTTGGTTCATATTTTTCATTAATATGCTCCAATCTCGAAATCTTTTAGAATCTT